CTCTTTCAAGAGAGATTCCAAAGATTTACAAAAACTAACATTCTGAAACCTTTGTTTGTACTTATTCAGCCTATTATTTCTGCTGATCGGTACTTGCAGAAATGAAGAATCGAATACACAATCTGAGACACATATCACCCAATGGTGAGTATCCATATGATATATACATACACACACACACACACACACACATGCATATATATATTAACTCAATCAGTTTATTTGAACAAAAGAGAATTCCAATTCTTATTATGGCAAACCTAGACCCCAGGTTTTTGCTATAGGGCGCGTGTGCTCGCCAGACAGACAGAGAGAGACATAGAGACAGAAATCACCCCCCAGGGGGGATGGTCATGCCACAATCCCTTCTCCTCCATTCTCCACTCGGGATCTTGGGCACGCACGCACACACGCCCAGTGTGAGTTTTAAGCCACCGGATCCGGGACGTGAACCACGGTCGACTACGTGGGAGTCCAGCGACATAGCCATTATGCTAACTGCTGGTTCCCAACTCCAAATATTTTAAAGTTACCCCAGCTGTCTTTACAACTTCTATTATCAGTCATAAAAACAACTTGTCAGTTTTGTCCCTCCCACCTTTTTGCTTTGTTTTGGTTTTGTTAAATAAAGAAGCTATATCTTCAGTAAGGCTATGGATTTTCTAAAGGATGCCTGGCATAAAGTGAGCTTGAGCATTAACATTAAAGGACAAGCAGTAAAAAAGGTAATGAGTGCAGACAAAATATCCAAGAGCTAGAGAACAGTGATCTCTTCTAAAGTGAATAAAGAGAATGGGATGAAAGAATTCAAAATGCACAGCTTTTCAAAGCTAAAGAAAGTGACAACAACTGAATTGAAAAGGCTGAACTTAGCATTACCTTCCCAGAACACAAACATATATTTAGCTTAATAGACTTGAGTACTACCTCAGGAAAAAAATCTTATATATTATGCATCTAGGGCAATGAAAGCTATAGAAAATGATTTTGCAAAGCAAACACACTACAGGCTGATGGGAGTAGAGAAGAAGAGTGTAAGGCACACACCAGAATTTATGTTTTATTCTCTACATCATCACAGCAGAAAAAAAATAAAAGGACTGAGGAAACCTCAAAGCCTAAACAGACCCTGGACAGAATTATATTTGCATCTGAAGCTTTAAATAAAGTACATGCACCTATTAACTGATTATAACTAAAATGTGTATGGATTTGTAGAAGATGTGCAAAGCACAGAAAAATTGGAAGAAAATAATTAAAATCACTTGCAGTCCTTGAGGCCAGCAGATAGTGAAACGGTTATATCACTGGACTCCCATATGGCCGACTGTGGTTCAAGACTCAGACTAGGAGTCTTGAAACTCACATTGGGCATGTATGTATGTGTGCCCAAAATCCTGAGAGGAGAATGTAGGAGAAGGGATTGTGGTACTGCCAACTGCCTCTGGGGAGCGATTTCTCACTTTCCATCTCTGTGTCTCTCTGTTTCTCTGGTGAGCATATACACCCTATAGCAAAAATCTCTCTGCAAAAAAAAAAAGAAAAGTCACTGGCAGTCCTACTGCCCAGAAAGAATCATTACCAAAATATTGGCATTTTTACTTGTAGCCCTCTTTCTATGCATGTATAAGAACAATTTTATTTTTTTTATAAAACTGGGTTCATATTATAAATAAAACTTTACACATACAATTTCCACCACACCTCATCTTTCCTCTTGAGAATTCGCCCATGTTGTCATACATTGTTTGAAGATATAAGTACTATACTATAGTGTATCTCATGAATTTAAGCAGAATTATTTCTTTCCATGTTGTTGGATTTTTAGATTGCTTCTAATTTCTCTGTTTTATAAATGGTATTGTGATGGATTTTCTAGTCATAATTCTTTGTATCTCTATTTACTTCTTTTTTTTTTTTTTTGAGAGATTTTCACTGTAGGGCGCGTGCGCTCGCCAGACAGACCGAGAGAGACATAGAGACAGAAAGCGAGAAATCACCCCCCAGGGGGGATGGTCACGCCACAATCCCTTCTCCTCCATTCTCCTCTCGGGATCTTGGGCATGCACGCACACGCGCCCGGCGTGAGTTTTAAGCC